ATTATTGAATATTTTAAAATAAGTTTAAATTTAAAAAAAATGAATCTTAGCATGCATAGCTAATAATAGTTTTATTAATCACAATTGCACTTACTTTTTTATCTATAAAAACAATAATAAAAAACAAAATGAAAATATGCCAGTTATAATCGGAGACGTTAAAAAATTAATTTATAAATTGGGATAAAATACTTTGAATGAAGCCATTAAGAAAAGTAATAGATCTTTATTAATTTTTCAGGTTAGAATTTATTTTGCATACAATATTGCACTCTATTTTGCATTCAAATTGCATAAATCTTTAAAACAACAATACCCTCATTGACTTTTACACACCTTCATAGATAAAGTTTCTCCAAACTTAAATAAACATTTTCTGCATTTGTCCAAAGAGAGAGATTGAGAACAACCGAAAACATTTCCTTACAAGGATAAATGAATACAGTACATGTATTAAAATTTGTAGTAAAGTTAAAGGCGAATTTCAGCTTTGCAATGCTTTAAAATCTGTTTAATTTGATTCCAAGCAATAGTAAAACTTTAGCAACTAAAAAGTGGTTTCAATGCAGAGACTGATTATTTAATTGATTCTATAATCAATATTGGTGGGACTGACATTAAGTAATTAATTTAAGTACTGATGATGTAAGCATGATAATTGGATCAGATCAGAGAATCACTTGCATGTTTAAAAAGTTAGCCAGGTTATTTACCCTTGCTTTAAATGTTAAAAAAAAGTACGTTGAAGCTATTAAAAACATAACAAAACCACCTTAGTTTTAAAATGATTCAGGTAGATTTGCCACTGTAGAAAATGTCTATTTGCTGTGTACTGTAGTTAACTTCAATAACAATATATAGAAATAGTTTAAAAAGCAATACTATCAAGAAAGGCATTTTAAATGGTATTTATATTCCACACAGCTAGAAATTTCTCGGAAACAATAGCTAAATAACAATACATGGTTATTCATAATTCCCTCCGCCTATAAACGCCATTTTTCTTTACTACAACTGGTTTCAGTGGTACATGATACTGCCATCTTTCGGCAACTGCTTAAATTGAAGCTTGAATATTTTTGGAATAATTTCATATGTTCTTTTTTGCCATATTCGTCTTCGTTTTTTTTTACTATAACGCTTCGAAATCCCGGGGGGAATAATGAATAATCCTGCATATTTAACTTTTCTTTTACCATATTCAAACAAATCAGCCAAATAACCAAAAATTAGATGGTATTCAAACTTTTAACTGTGTGAAAAACTGTTTATTAATTGCATTTTACCTAATATGGTTAACCAACCAGAATTTTATCGCACCAACTAGGACCACCTAATGATTCCGCATAGTTTCTTGCAGCTGGGTGCATATTAGAGCCGAGAGGGCTAATATTTAATTCTCAGGACAAACAGAACGAGGATTCCATTTGCCAAGCCGACACCACAATTTTTCTTCCATTGCCTTCAACAATTGAAGAATTTTCAATGTCCACTCTCTCATTTTTGGCCCTAAACTATTGGAATAGGAACTTCATTTACTCATTAATGGCAGCAACATAAATATGCTTAAGGCTAAAAAGTCTCGTATTTCTGATCTCATACGATAGGTGAAAAAAGTAATTAAAATAATTAATCCACATTCCAGGATTCATTTGAGGATGCATAACTCAACCGCAACCTAGCTCCAATGCCCAGTTAAATTTGTTTTTTATGAATTGGACACCGTGTTTGTTGCAAAAGGTCAAAAAACCGCATAGTTTTTTAGTCGTAGTCTTTTAACCATACTAAAGCAAAAAGGTAAAAAGTGTTCTTTTCTGTAAACCTTACCGCTTGTTGGAGATTGCAGCTAGTCAGATTACTGCCGGTTATTTTACCGTAATTTTATAATGTAAGTTCCATCAGTGTTCTTTAGATAGATACGCATCGAAAAATGCGTAACTACTACTTTAAGAAATTGCTGAACGCTTAGTACTGACTTATGGTATCTAAATTTAGACATACAGAAGAAAAGGGCTGCTAATAACATCTGTGTAGAAAAAATCTTTTTAATCCACTTTTTTGGCGAAATTAAAGAGAGCAATTTCCATTGAAGAAAATAAAATACAAAAATTTTTATATCTTTATTATTAGGATATATATATATACACAGTTGAAAG